ATTTGGATAGATTATAATATGGTCTATGAATCAAAATAGTTAATGGGTATGCTAATAAAAATTAAATGATCATTCTACATGGATTTAATGTTTAGTAATAAACAATAATGAAGATATTATGATATCTGGAAGTGATGATAGGACAATCAAATTTTGGTAAAAATAATAGTAGCAGTTTGTATGTTCATAAACTATTTCAGATCACACAAATAGTGTACAAGGATTAAGTTTGAATGATTTATAGAATAGAGTGATATCTTGTGGATCTGATAAGCTAATATTAATAATAGAATGTTCATCATAGGATTAAAAATGAAATGTGATATAAAAGATATTAGTTGTATTTAGTGGTTATCGATTATGTTTTATTAGTGATAATGTATTCGCATTCTAACCTGAAGGTAAAAAATATATTTATGTTTATGAGGTGAGTAGTACTAATAAATAATACTCAAAAACTAAAGAAATTGATGTTAAAAGTGGTTCTAATTGTGGTTGTAATGTTTGGTTTCCTTAATAATATATAAAGTAGAAATGTCTAATTGTGAATAAGAATGGATATAATATTAATTTAATAAGGATGAACCAAAATGGTGATTTTATAACAAAATAATCTATTGATTTTGGACATCATAATATATTTGCATAGATGAGTGAAGATGGAGAGTATTTGATGAATTGGGATAATAAATCAAAGGAAATTTAAATAAGAAAATATCATTAAGAATGAGGAAAATGAATTATTATTATCATTTATTCATTTATTTTAATTTTCTTGAACAGATTTTATCAATTATATCAATAGGTAAGTTAACAATGAAAAAATATACCTGTTGCTATTAGAAAAACCAAAGGAGAAGAATTTCTTATATGATATAAAGTAATAAAATCTAATAGAGACACAAAATTCTATGCACAAAAATTAAGTATCTCGATCTAAAATAAAAAAAAATTATTCTGATATCAATATATTTTTTTCCTGATGCCAAAATATTTCAAATTTATTATAAAACAATAATTAAATATATTGAAAAAAGTATATAAATAAACATCTTAAACTAATTGGATTTAAAATCAATCCATATCTAACTTAACTATCTCAATTTAAGATGCAAATAAAGTTAAAGTTAATAATAAAAATGAATACTCCATTTTCTACTTTCTCTTTTAGCCAGCGTGCAGGCTGTAATCAAATAAGCTATATCTTATTCATAATAATTCTTTTATTCTATATTTAATTAAAAACATTCTAACAAAGAGAGTAGAAAAATTAGTTCTATTCTAATTTAAATTTTTTTATAAGTTGTCTTTCTAACCGTGTATATGTTTTTCTTTAATATTATCTATGATAATACTTCCTTATTTTTTCCCATAATCTTAAGACTCATTTTTGTCTGAAGATATAAATATATTTTCTAACCAAGGTAATATAAAAAGTCTATCAAGTCAATATCTTCAAGTTCTGACCCAATTCTTTCAACCTTTCAAAATAAATACTTTCAACATTATTTATAGGTACAAAAATTTATCATAAGCTAACTTAGGAAAGTAATATTCCAAAGATCCCAGTCTTAATGATTAGTTATGTTAAGTTCATTTAAGTTTATTCAAAGTAAAAATATAGTTTTCTAATATTAGAATTAAGTATAATATGATCCAAGGGAAAATTAAATCTCCTTTATAAATTAAGTTTTATTAATTATCATCTCCTCAAATAATAAATCTCAATCTTGATTAAATTAAAAGTTTAAAGCGTTTAAATGTAAGATTAATTTCTAAATATTTTATAGTCTGAGAATAATTATTAAGATTCTTACTTTTCATTATTGCTAATCCACAAACGCTTTCATCTAATGATTGTCACTTTGGAGCTTAGAAGTAATCAAGAAAATTGCTGGTGTTAGAATAAATTACAAGGACAGATAAAAATTAAAAAACTTAAACCTAATTAAAGATTGAACCAAAATCTAAATTTTTAACTTACATCAATTAGTGAATAAGGACCATATTTAAATTTAATAAATAATTTTCCCTATCGATAATCATTAATAATCTTGATAATAATTTAACACGAGTTTTATATTTGACCATTTTGACTTTTTATCGAAAATGTTTGATATTTAAGAATTTTTAATTATCCATAATAATCGTAATCAATGATCTAATTAAAAGACAATTTGAAAATTAAATAAGTTAAGGTAATAAGTTAATTTATTAATCAACAAAATAACTAATCTACTCCTAATTAAGACAAAAAATACTTAAATAAAACAACATCCTCCAATGAAGATTTTTCAAAGAATATTTTCTTCTTCTAATGACCCAAAATCTTTAGGTAAAAAAAAATTAAAATAATAAAGATTTGATTTCAGGTTGGGGAAATAAATCTTCCTTGACAGAAAAAGAGTTATTGCTCAAACAACTATGGCTTTCTCAATGACGACCATAACCAGAAGTGTGTATCCTCCTAAAGAGCAGTTCTTTGCCCTACATCAAATTGACGGGAATAAATAACAGATAAGTATTAGTATTCATTAGAACATGGATTTTGAGAACTAAGACTTTTTTCAATTAATGACACTACAAACCCGAGCAGGTTGAACCTAAAAAAAAGAGACTTGCTCATCCTGCTTTGAGAAAATAAAGTGGGCTGGTAATTTTTTTGAGAAAGAATAGAAATCATTCAATCATGGTTTTAGGCTCGGGTATGAAAAATTCAACTTTTAAATTACACCCCTGAGGCCCTGGAATGCCCCGATAGTCCAGATTTTAAGAAAAAAGATTTATTTTTTCATCAGAATTAAAAATAAAATAAAATTAAATCTTGAGATTTAACCCAGAATGAACATTATTATTTCTTATATGTTTTAATTTTATTTTTGAATAATCAATTATTTAGCATTAAATGCAGACAAATGAAGCATTCTAAAGAAGGAACTTCGTTAATGTAGCAAACAGAACCTTTTGCCAGGATTATAATTAAAAAAAATAAACATAAACCTTTTGTTGAAAAATCTTAAGGTAAGCCTTTCATTAATTGACTAGGATAACTTACGCAGAGAAATGGTATAATTCTAAAGAAGTTAAACTAGTATTGAAACGAGGGCAGCTTTTAACTAAAATTCTTAAAAAAAACTGAGCCATTTAATCAATGAGTTAATAGCACAATAAGTAAATAATCAATGCTATGCTTTTAAAGTTGACTTCCTTATCATACTTTTTGATATCATTTTATATTACTAAAGTGAACATATTAGAAATATGGATAAAAAACTCATTTGAATATTATAAAAGAATTTCAATAAACGATCATGGAAGAAGATCTCATAAAAGCTGCTAGTTTTCATTAAATTCACTAAATGAGCTTAGAACTTCATAATGCAAGAATTGAAGTCTCATAAAAAAACGAATAAGACATATGAATAAACTGAAGCGACAATTTATTTCCCTATCAAAGAATATTTGGAACTGATTAATTAAACTCGACAAAGAAGAATTCATAATTTTGTTCAATATTATAATTTCAAACCATGCTTCTTTAAATTAAGGGCAAGGTAGTATTTTATGAAATTTATTGACTATATCAGCTATAAATGAATTATGTTTAAAATTTGTAATTTAAGATAAATATTGGCTAAGTATCAGTTTTATTAGAACTTTATCGAGCTAAAGCAATTTTGAATTTAGCAAGAAATAAAAATAGAATATTGCACTATTCACCCACTCACAGTCTAGAGAAGAAGTACATTGTTGCAATATTAATCAGGAGTCTATTACTTTTCTTAAATAAAAATATTAAAAAAATTAGTTTAGTGGGTATAGATATTCAAGACTGATTTTACTAAGTATGTGGTAGATAAGGATTATTTTATATATACATTTTTTTTAATGCCAAATAAATATGTTAAATACTAAATTTAATTTTGAATTATTTATATCTTATAAAAAAAAAAATAACCTTATACAATAAAGATATCGATTGTCCATAAACCAATAAGAATAAATAGTTTGCCTATACTAAATTTAATTATGAAATATATCACTAAATTTTTTTCTTAAATTAATTATAAAAAAGTACTGGAGAATCAAGCCTCATTATAAATAAGGATTTAAACTAATTAGGATTAAGATAATATAAATAGTTAATGGTATGGATATATTTATAATTAACACTAAGAATACAATCTAATTGATATCTAATATACATTAACTTAATCTCAAATGCTGTAATAAACTTCTAATTCTCATATTTGTTAAACGATTATCATATGGTCTTATTATTCATTAGATTAAACAAATTCACGATATTTTTTCCAATAGTGAGACCTATATTACAGAATTATTCAATAAAATCTGATTGTATCAAATGAAATAAATAGCTTATTAATTATTTCAAATATATCTCAAAATTTATTTATTATATGTCAATTTCATTCCAAACCATTCACAAAAGTTCAAGAATCTTATATTGATTAAAAATCCTATATAATCCTTTTATCTGTAAATAGTTCCTAGTCCGATTATATTTGATTCTTTATCTGCTGTCATGTTAACTTCTCAATTCTAGAAAATTTTGAGTTTTTTTTGGTTCATTATTACAATTTTCTCAATGAGTAGTCTAGTCTAATATTTTTTCGTGAAAATGAGCAATCCTAAATTTTATAGACATATACTTCCTTAAAAATTCGATACAAAGAAGACCGTCTATTAAATCTTGATACTAGACTCTAGAATTTAATTTTAATTTAAGGTCTGAGTTTCTCAAAGCCTATATGATGCTCGAAAGCCTTTATAAGGATAATAAAAACTAAATGGAGCTATAATAAAAAAAAATTGAATTTCTTCATTCAACAACTTATGTTAACAAAGGTTAATTTAAATAAGTGCTACACAATACAGCATTCGCAGAATTCTTAACATCAATAAGGAATATTTTTGGGAATGAAATTTAATAATTATTATTTAATATTCTTAGAGAAGGTTTAGAATGTGATAAATAATGTTCCTATTTTTTAAGGATTGGTACAAATTTATTTACATAGTCGAATTTAAAAATAGAAAAAAAGATATGAATAACTTTTGAAAAGGTGTGGATTTAGAAGAATAATCAAAAGAAAGAAGAGAATTACAGTATGATCATCTTTTTAAGAAATTTATCGCTTATTTAGTAATTAGATAAATACCATTTTCGTTAAAACTTAATAACTTTGCTGAGTATCTAATCTTTTTAATTTTTGCAATTGATTATAATCTAGTCTATTTTGATTGTATTTTCATTTTGTGAAATTTCCTTTCTTTTAATGAGCATTATTCTTGCCATTATTGAGAAAATCAACTCCATGTAGTTGGACAAAATCTTAATAAAACAGGATCGAGTTTATAAATAAGATCTTCATAAAGGAAATTTATTTAAATAATAAATATTTATAATTAAAATAGAAAAGTTTTTGCCATCCTAATTGAAGAAATGGAGAAATTTAAGTAGCATCCTCTTGTATCAATATTTAAGAATTAATTTATAAAAAAGAGTTATTAATAATCCAGTATAAAAATTAGATTACTAGCTATATCATAATCAGATAATAGAATTAATTTATATATATAAAGATTATGCTAAACTTAATTTTTTAACACTCATATAATTTTTGCTAAGCTATTTTTTAACACGATAATAATAAACTGCTTTCAAATTTTAGACTGTCTTTTGTTAATCTAGCAGAATTGTTTAAATCACCACATTATTATCATTGGATTTTAGAATTACCATACGGATTCCATGTTAAGTTACCCTTATAATAAAAATAGTTAAATAATTAAATTATCATTTTTAAAAGATTTTTATAGAACACTCTTGCAAAGTCTGCTTCTTAACTTTATGCAATAAGAATTAAATGGTTTTCATTTTAGGATTCTAGAATTTCGTTTATAATTTTCTAATAAAATGATGTATAGGAACTTTAGTCTGATAAAGGTGATTATATGTTAACATTTGATTTTGACTTCCTCTATTTGATTACTCTTTGTAAGTTAACACCATTCAAAGATATTAATCTATTTTTTGCAAAATTTTAGATTGAATAAGTATAATCTTAGAGTGTTGATGTTTCTGTTACAATGTATTCAGATTCATAAATAGAATATGTAAGATTTAATATTCTATTTGGTACTGATCAATCATTATTATCATCTTCTGCTTAAGCTGAAATTTTCAATACTATATTAAATTGAAATATATGACATTAAAGTAGACAAGAAACTTTTAAGATACATTCAATATTCTTGAATTACAAATTTGATTAAGGTGCTTTTGTAATTAATGTTCCTTAAACTCCTAATTTAATATATAATTTATTTTTATTTATGATAATTTTATCATATTGTAAAATTAAATTGAATCTTTTAAGATATTATATTAATCTTAATTTATATATTAATAGGTATAAAACTTGGCTTAATTTTTTGTAGTCAACATTCATTTTAAACTTAAAGAGCTTATTATTAAAATATATATAGCATTTTTATTGTTAAAATTGTTCAAAAATATTATTAGTGATACAACTTAACGATTAAATAATTGTTACTTTCTCCTTGAAATAATTTGCAGTCTGCAATCCCCCATAAAGCACTGAGATCTGATAAATTCGTGCTCAAATTAAGAAGGCATAATCTAAATCATTATCAAATATGATATAATATAATAGAGGACAGATTTATTCTCATTTTTATTCTGTTATAAATAAAGTTTAGGGAAAATGCATCTAAAATCATTTTAAGATTTTAACTTTAACTATATCTCCTTTAACAACAAAATATCCTAATTGGTATCACTTACTATTAAAACTGATTGTGAATAAATAAACAACAAAATGAAGTCTTATTTAGATATAAATAACTAAATATTAGATAAATCTTCTGATTTATAAATAATATTGAAATATTTCTGGCTTTAGTTTACTTAATAATGTAACAGAGCTATCACAAAAAATGATTTAAGGGCATTAAAGAATTAAGTTATCAACAACTGATTCCTTTTATTTAAAGCTGAATTAGAATCCAAAGATTTATCATAAAATAAATCTATGGATTCTAATTTATTTTTTATTTTGAGTTTAAAATTGTAGATTCCAAAAACACCTAAATTTAATGAAATTATTACTATATCCTGCTTTTTAGGTTTGATTTAAATGAGATATAATGTAATTGAAAAAATTTTTTAGTAAAAAATATTTAACCATCATTGTCATTAGCACCACAATAACTATATTAATTATCAATAGTTGAAAATTTTATTTCGTCAATAAGACCTTTATCTTAATAGATTTGAAACTTTTCTAATATTTATATATCTATTTGTTGTATGATAAATGAAATTTCGATATCTGTATGAGGATCATTTATAAAACTTATAAATCTATGAATTAATAAGTTTAGCTGAATCTAACCAAAATAAGTTCTATTATTTTAGTATAATTTCGAAAAGAATTTTAATTAAACGGGATCATTAATGATAAGAAAAAGACATAAATAAGAACATATATTATCTAAATAAGACTTCTTGACATAATTATTTTAAAAATCCAATTTAATGTTGAAAACAGTCAAAAATTAAATTGAATAGTAATAAGAAGAAATCACTCCGATATTTAACAGTATAATGAATTCAATTTTAAGGATTGCTGAAGATTATAAAGCAGAGGATGACAGATATCTAAGACTTATCAACCAAAAATTAAATCCTTTGGAATGTTCTTCACTAGAATTAGATTTTCTTGTATACTTTAAAGAGTAATATTTATGAAGATTGGATTATAAATAAAAAAATGGTTGTTTCTAAAATTTACAAAATAGAAGCATTTTTAGAAAGAATAGTATAAAGTGGATATAAGACAAATTTTCTGTATGACTAAATTCATAACAATTTTTTGTAGTAAACTTTAATATTATGAAGCCCTTATAAAAAGTTTGAATCAATTATTGTTAAATTGAAAGGATTAGATGCTTTCAACAATCAATTAGTAGAAACATTATTTTATTTCAAAAATTAAGAAAATGGGGATAAAATTTATAAAATAAATGGATAAATTCTTAGTATGTATGGTTATTTAATATTTAAGAGAAAAACATTAATTAGGCTGAAAAAATGATTAGCCATTACTTAATCTAGAATAAATTAAATATTTAGATTACTAAGGTTAATATGGAATAAAAGGGTATAAAATCAAATAATGGATCTATTTTTGGAAAGGATAATAGGTTGGGGGTGGAAACTATAATTTAATGGGATAAAAGAAAGGATTGTGGATTGATTTATGTGAAAATTATTGGGAGTATTCTATTAATATTAGTAAATTTTTTATTAAAGGAATATAATTGAAGAAGGCTTTTATTATCTAGTTAAAAGAATTGGTATTTGGAATATAAATTGCAATATTGAGAAGGCAAGAAAATAGGAAAATGGATAGAATTAACTGACAAATTTAATATAAATTTTTAAGTTTCTTTAGAGGGTTAATATGAGAATGGTAGGAAATTAGGCAGATGGGATATTTTTAATATGACAGGGAATAATTTTATTGGCTGTATTAATAATTAATATTTTTAAGTGGTTTTAGTATTTATGATTAATAAGGACAATTAAGTTATGAAAAAAAAGTATTATTTAAATGACTCTAATTTATTTAGTCAAAATATAACAATTTTTAAGGGAAAATTTAGTAATGATAAAAATTTGGAAAATGAGATATTTGGTTAACAGCTAATGGAAATGATGAAAAATAATTAATGTAAGCTTTTAGATAAAATCTCTAATCTGAATGTGTTAGTGAAGGTGGATCATATGATGAAGATGGAAATTCCGTTAAAATTGGTAAATGAATTGATTTAGATCATGATTTTGAAATGAAAAAATAAATGACTTAGAAAGGTAAATATAGAATGGTAAAAAAATTGGTTAATGGAATAATTTGTACAAAGAAGATAAAATTTAATAAATATTATATAAATTACATTATTATAACCTTGTAGTCGGGGTGGATCCTACGATTTATTATGTTATGAAATAAAGATTGGTATGGGTTGAAGTAAATGAGTAATTTAAAGATAATTTCTAAATAACTTAAAAGGGTGAATATAAAAATGGTAAGAAGTCTGGTTAATGGAACATTTTGATTAAAGAAAAATAAATGTAATGAATTTTATAAAAAATATTTAGTGGTGTGGCTGTTATGATGAAAATAAAAATAAAATATAAATTGGAAAGTGGATTGAAGTAACTGAGTAATTTAAAGATTATTCATAAGTTACTTATATTGGTGAATACAAAGATGGTTAAAAAATTGGTCGATGGTTAAATTAGAATAAAGGGGAGCAAATGTATATTATTTTCATTCATTTTAAATATAAATTAATGGTGGTGGATTATATAAGGAAGGAGGTAAGTGTATTAAGGTTGGAAATTGGATTGATATAAGTGAGGCTTTCAAAGATAATTCATAAGTCACTTTTAGTGGTGAATATAAAAATGGTTTAAAATATGGTAGATGGGATATTTGGCAAAAGATGATAGAAGAAATAATCAAAATATAAAAATGTACAAAATATCATATAAAACGCTTAATATTAACATGCGTTAGTGGTGGTGGATCATAAGACGAAGATGGTAATGGCTTTAAAANCGCTTAATATTAACATGCGTTAGTGGTGGTGAATATAAAAATGGTTTAAAATATGGTAGATGGGATATTTGGCAAAAGATGATAGAAGAAATAATCAAAATATAAAAATGTACAAAATATCATATAAAACGCTTAATATTAACATGCGTTAGTGGTGGTGAATATAAAAATGGTTTAAAATATGGTAGATGGGATATTTGGCAAAAGATGATAGAAGAAATAATCAAAATATAAAAATGTACAAAATATCATATAAAACGCTTAATATTAACATGCGTTAGTGGTGGTGAATATAAAAATGGTTTAAAATATGGTAGATGGGATATTTGGCAAAAGATGATAGAAGAAATAATCAAAATATAAAAATGTACAAAATATCATATAAAACGCTTAATATTAACATGCGTTAGTGGTGGTGAATATAAAAATGGTTTAAAATATGGTAGATGGGATATTTGGCAAAAGATGATAGAAGAAATAATCAAAATATAAAAATGTACAAAATATCATATAAAACGCTTAATATTAACATGCGTTAGTGGTGGTGAATATAAAAATGGTTTAAAATATGGTAGATGGGATATTTGGCAAAAGATGATAGAAGAAATAATCAAAATATAAAAATGTACAAAATATCATATAAAACGCTTAATATTAACATGCGTTAGTGGTGGTGAATATAAAAATGGTTTAAAATATGGTAGATGGGATATTTGGCAAAAGATGATAGAAGAAATAATCAAAATATAAAAATGTACAAAATATCATATAAAACGCTTAATATTAACATGCGTTAGTGGTGGTGAATATAAAAATGGTTTAAAATATGGTAGATGGGATATTTGGCAAAAGATGATAGAAGAAATAATCAAAATATAAAAATGTACAAAATATCATATAAAACGCTTAATATTAACATGCGTTAGTGGTGGTGAATATAAAAATGGTTTAAAATATGGTAGATGGGATATTTGGCAAAAGATGATAGAAGAAATAATCAAAATATAAAAATGTACAAAATATCATATAAAACGCTTAATATTAACATGCGTTAGTGGTGGTGAATATAAAAATGGTTTAAAATATGGTAGATGGGATATTTGGCAAAAGATGATAGAAGAAATAATCAAAATATAAAAATGTACAAAATATCATATAAAACGCTTAATATTAACATGCGTTAGTGGTGGTGGATCATAAGACGAAGATGGTAATGGCTTTAAAAATGGAAAATGGATAGATTTTGATGATGATTTTAGAGAGGCTAAAGTACTAACATATATTGAGGTGTATAAAAATGGTAATAAGGTTGGTAGATGGAATATTACATTTGAGGGTTAAGAAACTTAAAAAAATTCTACAAATAGTTTATTATTAAATTGTTAGTAGTGGAGGATCATATGATATAGATGGTAATGGAATTAAAATTGGCAGTTGGATTGATTGGATGAAAAATTTTATTATGAAAAATAAGTAGCTCATGAAGGTGAATATAAAGATGGTAAAAAAGTAGGGGGATGGATATTTATTGGAATTACAACAAAAAGATGTAAATATATTATATAATGTTTATTATTTTTAATTTCTTAGTGGTGGTGGATCAAATGATGAACGAAGTAGTGGCTTTAAAATTGGAAAGTGGATTTATTCGGATGATGGCTTTAATTATTGGAAATAAAAAATTCTAAAAAGTGAATATATCAATGGTAAAAAATTGGTATATAAAATGAATTAATAAAATAAAAGGAATGAGTGCCTTAAAAAGTATCATTATGATTAATCAATATTATCTACAAAAATAGAATGATAAATTTTTCTTTTAATCAGTATCCAAAAATTAAGTTTTGTTCATTTTTTAATATTGCTGCTCTATTTATTTTTGCGTCTATTCAAATATCCCTTAGATGTACTTTTAATCATCTTCATATCCACCATTAGATGCTGGTTAAGAAACATAATTTTGGATATACGAATGCTTTAAGGATGCTTTGACCTAGTTACCACATCCTCAAGATTTTCCCTTAATTATTTACTTTATTGGTAGTTAAGAGGAAAATTTTATTTGAAAAGACCAAATAATTATTCTAAATTTCTTCGCAAGCATATGACTGATTTTATTTCTTGTTTTTTTTTCGTAAGATTTTTGATAAATTAAGAATTTATATTAACTTAGATAGCTCAATATATACCTCTTTAAAATTGCACATTATATTTTAAGTCTGGTAAGTTAAGATACTTAAATTTAGTATTGTATTTTTTTTTAGAAATCTCTTAGCCTTGACAACCATAGGCTATTGTATTAAATACAAAAATTTATGCATTTTTATAGACTATCCTCATACAGAATTATTTTTTATTCTCTTTATGTAAAATAATTTTTCATGTTTTGAAAAGTTTGATTTTCCTTTCTCTATCAAAAACTTCATTTAAAAATAATGTTTATATTTAGTTTTTTTTTTTTGACAATATTTTATTCATTACTTGATTTCGTAAGACTATAAAGATGATTAATGTTTTAATCTACTGATAATTATACTACCAATCTCATAATTTTTTAAGTATACTTTTAAAGAACTAAACTTTACAATCTATTTTGAAAAAGCATAATTACTTTTACCATTTAGCGTTTGAAAAGGTTCAAGGAAATTGCTTTAAAAACTTAACAGAACTCATTCTAATAAAAATGCTATATCAAAGAGTGGAAATTGAAATAAATAAATATTTAATCTGAAGTTTTTAAAATTCTACAGCTTATTTTTGAGATTTAAGTGAGTTAGCTTCTTCGATTACAAAACCTGGTACCTCTCCATTCAATGGAATATGTTAAATTATCAAAACCATAAAAAATGAGACTTTGTTTATTATCTTCAAATACAACCTATTTATTAGAATTCTAGAAAGAAAGTAGAACATATAAATGCTTACGCTTCAATTTAAGGTTGTTTTATCATAAAAATATTTGCTACCTTGCTTATATCGAGTTTATTTTTTTGGCTTTTGCATACTATAGTATTTTTTAAATAAGTATATTTTATATTAGCAAGTATTTTTGGGTTTCCATTTTTTGCATTTACATTTGATACTATCATTTCCATTTCCAAAAGTTTATAATTGAAAGTGATTAATGTTTTGAAAGAGAAAAAATGATTATCTTAATTGTAAATACGGATATTATTAGTCAGTTTATTCATATCAACAATGCCTAAAAAATTCTAAACACAGTTTTTTTTTCCTCAAATAATATTAAGATTCACAAATTTTGTTAGATTAATAATTTGTTATATCATTGAAAATATTCAAAAGAAAATTAAAATAGACATATACATTAGCTATAAATCTTATATTCAAAAGGCCATTATAGATTTTAAGCGATCACATTCATTGAAATATATGATACATCTTTCCAGAAATTCTACACATTTAGTATCGAGTAATGTTGTTAAAGGTCATGTCAAAAAAATCATTGTTATATTAATAAGTACTAAATGGACATTCCAAATAACAATGAACATTATATAAATTAGTTTTTTTGAGACTTAATTAAACAAATTCGTTATTAAGATTGTTTTAATAATTAGGGTAATAATTATTACATGATCCATAAGTTAAATATGCTTCAAGGGTACATTTAGTAAACACTAAAGAATTGCATTTCTGACAATCTTCAAAACAATAAAGACATTTTAGATTAAAACATACATTAACAGCAGACATATAATAACGCAATTATTAATGTTGGTAAGTACTGCAGCAATAGGCAAAACATTTATCTTATCCTTAAGATAAATTATTAGTACTAATAAGGACACAATTTTTTTGATTTCATCAAATACTATAGGATGTGTTTATGTAAAAACTTAATTATCCAAATAATATCCATATTAGCAAGTGATAAAATCATTTTCTGAAGGCTCAATACAAATTAAATATCATGAATCAAAAATTTAACAAACTGATGCCGAAGTAAATTGTGAAAAATTCAGGATTATGAAATTAACAATATTTACCATCTAGATGATATCTATCCTCCAGAATCACAGTTATTTTTTAAATTAAATTCTTGTATCATAAATGAACAAAATATGCATCATTGTGTACATAATAGGTTAAATCATAAAACATAGGATAAATATCTAAACAAGTCTATATATTCAAAAATAAGAGAGTTTAAATTAAATTAGTTGCCACTATTAGATCTAAAACATTCTTTACATAAAGAATTGCATCCATAGCATTAATAATCCTTTAGGTAAGATTTTGTATAGCATTAATCTACTTTTTTACTATCTAATTTATAAGAGTATAAAAATGAAGGTCAAGCTCTAAAGCAATAATTTTCACTCAAGTATAAGCAATCTTGAAATTTAGCCATATATGTTTAATCAGCTAAATTTGGATAAGGCTTAAAATCAGGGCAAACAGAAAATTCATATTCGAATTTTTATAATAACCAACATCAAATTTATTGAAATCATTAACTTAAATCCCTAAACATTCTGAACATGGACCAGGACAACTACTCTAAATTAATTAATCTAAATAGGTCTCACAAATATTTGAATAATAATATCATCAGTTAAAGTGATCCACTATATAACTTCATTTATAAGTTCCCTAAGGGTGCTATCAAATGAACATACCATTCTTTAAATAATTAAGGGTTGTTAGTAAAAAATTGATACAGGTTTTCCATCCATTTAAAAAGTAGCCGAATGAACAAGTCATACATCAATCTTAATTTGGATTAATGCATGATGCACACAAAATAATATATAGCATGATCTTTGTGTAGCATACTTTTAGGATTGAAAAACGCAAAAAACCATTTTCGACAAAATTAATTCAACTCTTAACAAATTATTTTTTATTCCAATTTTTATAATATAACAATTAGTTACGTATAGAAATCTTGTACAGGATGTTGAGTAAGCAGTTTCACATTCAGATGCACAACTATCGTAATATTAATAGGTTAATCAATCTAAAAAAAATTGCTTTAAGCTTAAATTTTTTTTCTGAAGTAATATTAATTAAAACAAGCAAGTTATTGAAGAAGATGCTACTTTTTCAGAAATATCATTAATAATTTTAATCCAGAAGTTGTTATATTTTCATCAAACAAATATCAACACCTTTCCAGTTTATACTATCATTAAATTATGGATAGCATTAATTCACATACTGATTTAAATTAGTTTTCGTTTAGGTCAGAACATTTTCGTATATACAGGATAAATAATAATTCTAATAATAATGAATAGCAATATAATAGTTATAAACAGCACAATATACTGATAAAGGTTCAACATTTAATCCAAAACATTCCCATTATGTCCTAATCTCTCCTGAATTCTTTGATATTTTTTTTATCTGTATTAGTAGCATAACGATGGTTTAATTATTTCCAAACTTAATTAATAGAATAAACTGAGAGTATATGAATTAGCCATCAAAAGGGAAATTAGAACCATATAAAATGTAAAATCCTAACGTGACACTATGATGATTGACCTCCAAAGACCCTTATAGATTTCCAATTAGGTTAGTATTTACAATTATTTCTAGAATTTCAATCAAACTTCACGTGTAGAATATAACAAATATTACAATGTCATAATTATTGTCATTCATCATTCTAATTATTACCCTCTGAAGTTATACGTATTTTCATTTGACTATGATATAATTATATCAACAATAGTTTTGTTTAAACATTTCAACAGAATAATCACTGAAGATAAAGAATACTGAATAGCATTTTCACAACTTATTAATGTAATATAACAATCTAAAAAAAAATTTTTGATTTGTCTAAGTTCAATAATTTCCAGTTTTTAATCTTCTACTTTATTTCTCAAATCACTAAATCTGTCTATTTAAGTTAAAGTTAAAATTGTAATAAAACTAAAAATTTCATCCAATTCTGCAAAGAGCAGTTTCAGTATCGATACGATATTTATTTATAAATAATTACCCATTTGCAGAAGAATTTTCTTTATCTTTAAACCATTTATTAATGTAATAACTTTCTGTGACACATCTCCTAGATTCAAATATTCCTTTAATAAATATACCAATGATCATTAATTTAAAACTTTCCAAAAATAAAGAAATTAAGCACAAAACTAAATGTGGTTATAAATATTAGCATTCATTAACAAAGAATAACTACTATACTAAAAAGCACATATGATCTTCTAACACTAAAAGCATCAATAATTAAATCTCCTACAAATGTTATGATCTAAAATAATAGTAAATAATTAACATCTTTTTAAGTCACATAGGAATATTTTATTGGATAAACACCAATTAGTTACATGCCAAGAGAGTGCTTTTAACATTATTTAAGTGTATTTAAAAAATTAAACAATCTGGTTAAAAAATTTACTCAAAAATCAATTTAAAATCATTACTTAGTAATTTCCAAATTAGACTAAATGAATTTTAAGTTTGAAAAAAAGAAAAATTAAACTTTTTCATTAATTTAATAATTAATTACTTTAAATATGATTTTCTTATAATATTAATATCTACAATACATTATGTAAATAAATAGTTTAAAAAAAGATAAATTTGTAAATCTATGCTTTATTTAAAATTTAGATTATTACATATTATGATACCTAAACTTTCTTTATATTTATATTCATTTAATTTATATTGAGATATATTTGAAATACATAAGTTTACAACTCTCTATAATTAATACTGAAAATTATGCTTAATAATCCATTTATAATGAATCAAAAGTCATAAAGATTGTTAACATATGATTATGAATAGATAAATAGCTA